TGCAGGAAAGAGGGGTGGTGGGAAGGTTTGGAGGAGGGGGTGGTGTTTCACTAAGGACTGGCAAGTGTTCCTTTCCCAGGTAGGTCCACAGGACTTTTCTAGGCTCTTGCCTAGCATTGCGTTTGAAGGTTCTGGGGTTGGAAAACACATTTGATGGGTTAAGACCTGCCTTCCCTGGCGCCTCTGTCACACATACGCATGCACACAGATATCTGCCCCCCCCCCCCGCCTCTGGGTCCTTCCCCATGGCCATGAGACCCCAGGGGCCTGACCTTGGGCTGGGTGCCCCATTAATTGCTGTTTCTGGGGCAGCTCCATCCATGTGTCCCGGAAGGGCTGGCACATGCTGCTGAACCTGTGCTTCCACATGGCCATGACCTCCGCCGTCTTTGCAGGAGGCATCACACTCACCAACTACCAGATGGTCTGCCAGGCGGTAAGAGGAGAAGGGGCTGGGGGGGGGGGGCGGTTGGGGAGCTCCAAGATCAGCTGTGGCAGCCTAGGCAGGAGGGAGGGGCAGGGGAAGGAAAAGGGGGCTCGGACTAATGGACCCCAGCTCCTTTGTCTTCTCTGTGTCCAGTCTTACTTGTCAGGGGAGAGAATCAAGGTAAGAAGCAAGAAGCAGGAAAACTAGGAGGAGGGGCTTCAAAGTGGAGAGCGGGAACCTGCGGTGGAGGAGAGGTCAGGGACGAAGCAGATAGCAATAACTAAATCATGGAATCACCAGAGTGGGGGGTGAGGGTGGGTCTGGATGGGAGTAGAGAGGGAAATAGCAGGGACAGACCCGGCGGGAGGTCTGGGGGTGTTGGGGGCTGGGAACATGGAGGACTGGGAGCACACTGTGGGGCGGAGGCTCCTGCAGGGCCCCAGGGGAAGCAGCCCGGTCCCCGGCTGTGGTAGCAATCCCAGCCTCAGCACCTTGATCCCGCAGGTGGGCATCACTCTGCACTACTCCTCACTGTCCACCCTGCTCTGGATGGGCGTGAAGGCCCGCGTCCTCCACAAGGAGCTCACCTGGAGGGCGCCCCCTCCCCAGGAAGGGGACTCTGCCCCGCCTGCTCCCCGTCCCATGCTCCGGTACATGCTTCCAGATACCAGCTTTGCAGGGGGAAGGGCTCAGAGGGGCGGGGGCAGGGGGGTGGTGGCCTAGGAAACCAAATCAACTCTCCCCGGGTGGGTGCAGGGAGGGTCCAAGGTCCTAGGAGACCACTGTCCAACGCCAGAAGAGGCAAGGATCTAGGTGGAGCCCGGTTGCTGAAGGTCATGTAGTGGGCACTGAGCAGGCAACCTGGAAACCCTCAAATTCTGGGTGAGAGAGAGGTCTGGCCTCTGTCCCTTAGGACAGTCTTGGCCAAGTCCCCTAGGGATCTACCAAGCCTGCCTTGTAAGCGCCTTGCATCCATGGCAAAAAAAAAAAAATTCCGACAGAATTTAAAAGGGAAAGAAGATGGGATGGAGACCCCGAGTCAAGGGCTCTGAGCACCTGTTTCCTCGTCTCTCTGACTCCCCAAACCCATTCCTTTCCAGGTTCTATTTGATCGCCGGAGGGATCCCTCTCATTATCTGTGGCATCACAGCTGCTGTCAACATCCACAACTACCGGGACCACAGCCCCTAGTGAGCACTCTGCCTGCCTGCCTGCCTGCCCCAAACCACCCCACCCCAGCACCAGACGCCTTCTACTGCACTGCAGGGGCACCTGCCCAGCTCACCCAGCCAGGGACTCCGCCCATGCCCGTGCATGTTGACCAAGCCAGCCTCTGCCTGTCATCTCACTGCATCTCTGTCCCCAACCACCCAGCCTCTGGACCCCGCCTCAGACTTGCTCCCCTCCTCATCCGCTGCCTGTGTCTCCCCCCTCAGCTGCTGGCTGGTGTGGCGTCCGAGCTTAGGAGCCTTCTACATCCCGGTGGCTTTGATTCTGCTGATCACCTGGATCTATTTCCTGTGTGCGGGGCTGCGCCTGAGGGGTCCCCTGGCACAGAGCCCCAAGGGGGTCGCGAGCAGGGCCTCCCTGGACCAAGGGGAGGAGCTGAGGGGTCCCACCAGGCTCAGGAGCAGCGGGCCCCTCCTGAGTGACTCTGGGTCCCTTCTGGCCGCAGGGAGCGCGGGAGTGGCGACGCCTGGGCCCCCGGAGGATGGGGACGGCCTCTATTCCCCGGGCGTCCAGCTGGGCGCGCTGGTGACCACGCACTTCCTGTACCTGGCCATGTGGGCCTGCGGGGCGCTGGCCGTGTCGCAGCGCTGGCTGCCCCGCGTGGTGTGCAGCTGCCTGTACGGGGCGGCGGCCTCGGCCCTGGGCCTCTTCGTCTTCGCCCACCACTGCGCCCGGCGCAGGGACGTCCGGGCGTCCTGGCGCGCCTGCTGCCCCCCGGCCCCAGCCCCGCGCGCCTCCCCCCAGGCCGTGCCCGCGGCCCCCGACGACGGCTCCCCCGTGTTCGGGGAGGGGCCCCCCTCCCTGAAGTCGTCCCCGAGCGGCAGCAGCGGCCACGCGCCGCCGCCCCCGGGGCCCTGCAAGCTCACCAACCTGCAGCTGGCCCAGAGCCAGGCCTGCGAGGCGGGGGCGGCCCGCGGGGAGGGCGAGCCGGAGCCCGCGGGCGCCCGCGGCGGCCTGGCCCCCCGGCACCCCAACAACCTGCCCCACGGGCGCCGCGCGCACAAGAGCCGAGCCAAGGGGCACCGGGCCGGGGAGGCGGGCGGCAAGAACCGGCTCCGGGCGCTGCGCGGGGGCGCGGCGGCGGCGGCCGGGGCCGGGGCGGCCGAGCTGCCGTCCAGCGAGAGCGGCAGCCTGCACACCAGCCCGTCCGACAGCCGCCCGGGCAGCAGCCGCCACAGCCCGGCCGCCGGCGCCGCGCCCGAGGCCGAGCCCGCGCTCACGCCGTCCGACGGCGGCAGCGACACGAGCGCCGCGCCCGCCCCGGAGGCAGCCCGGCCGGGCCAGCGCCGCAGCGACAGCCGCGACAGCCTCCGGGGCGCGGCGCCCGACAAGGAGAGCAAGCGCCGCTCCTACCCGCTCCACGCCGCCAGCCTCAACGGCGCCCCCCGGGGCGGCAAGTTCGAGGACGCCACCACCCCGACGGGCGCCGAGGCGGCGGGGGGCGGCTGCATGAAGACGGGCCTCTGGAAGAGCGAGACCACCGTCTAGGGGGACGGGGGGGGGCACTTTAGGGCAGGCTGGCCCCGCGCGGACTTGTCCCCCTGGCTTCGCGGGGGGGTTCCCCAAGGACGTCTATGGGCACCCCATAGGTGAGGGCTGCGCCTGGGCCCGCTAGCCTCAGTCCCAGGCTGGGGAAAGGACGGCGGACGCCTGCGCTGCTAAGAGGGCCTCCCTCCCTCGGGGGTAGCGACAGACAATCCCAGGGCCGCTGGCAGGACCCATGTCTGCCCCGGCCCAGGCTAGCCTGAGCCGTCCAGGGTCAGGAAGGTCCTGTCAGTCTGTGGATTGCTGAGAGCTGGACGGGCCAGCAAGCCCAGGTGGGCTCTTCCTATGGTGCCCGCCGCATGTTGCCCACCCGCCTCTCTGGAGGTGTCGGCCCCTCCTGGAAAACTCAGGGGGGGGGGAGGGGCTTGGGAACAAGGTTCCCTCACCGCCCTCCTCTGAAGCGGGCCTCTGTGCCTAGCTTCTAGGGCCTCTCTCCCCACCCAGTGCTTGGCTAACTGGGGAGCCAGCCTAGCGGATATGCCAGGTGACCAGGACCCATTGGAGGTGACAAGGTGCTACTTCTCAGACTATGCAAGAGGTGGAGGTGGGGCAGTGTGGAGGTCAGCTTGGGGGGTCAAGGAGGAGGGCAGGGGCCCCATTAGGGAGCGAGTGTACAAACACCACGCAGCAGCAGGCCTCTGGGGTGGGACTTGGAAGACACAGCTAACCCCGCCTGGGGATAATGTGAGGGGAGTAGAGAGAGTGCTTAGGTTTGGGGCTGAAGTTAGCCATGCCTTCAACCTAGTCCTACACACAATGCTCTGAAGAGGGGCTCCACCACAAGGCTGCAAGTGGTGTTGAAATTGTACTTACCAGTCAATCACAGGACCTGGGTCTCAGCCTCCCAAGAGGGGGCAGGCTAAGGAAGATACTTCCCTGCCCCCCTGAGGTCACATGGAGGAACCCTTCCAATCATTTGACCTCTAGCCTCCTCTAAGGGAGAAACTTCCAAAACATCGAAAACATTTTCCTGCCACACCCAAGCCCAGGCCAAATCCTCCCGGGTGGTGGGCAGGGTCCCTACAGCTCCCTGGGGCCTGCACCCCCACTTTCAAACACCAGCATTCCTACGCCTCCGCCCCCCCCAACCTAAAAAGCAACCACCAGCCTTTTACTACAGGACCCAGTGGAAGTGGAGGGACCCAGAGGCCTCATGAAGAGCATTGTGAAAATGAGGCCTGGCCCGGGTCCCCTCCCAGTCCCCATGTCACCCAGCCTGATCACCAGGGTGAAGGGAGACACAAGGAGGAAAGGAAACCCGCATTCCTTGGGATGGATCCTGTTATTTATGCTTGCTGCACAGACAATATTAGACAGGAGAAAGAAAAAAAAAAAAAGCTTTGTATTATTCTTCCACATATGCTGGCTGCTGTTTACATACCCTGCCAATGCCTTAGCACTGGAGAGCTTTTTGCAATACGCTGGGGAAAGGGGAGGGAGGGGATAAAAAGTGCCAAAGAAAACATGTTTTTAAAAGCTCGGGTTTTATACAATAGAATGTTTTCTAGCAGATGCCTCTTGTTTTAATATATTAAAATGTTGCAAAGCCCTTTGAGCTCTAACCTCAGTCCACCCACAGTCCTTTTGTTATGAGGTAGAAGAACTCATGAACCATACACATTAACCCACCAACACCTAGGACACAGGGCCAAGAGTTGCCCAGTTCCTGCCCTCTGAGGGCTGATACCATTGGAAATGCCATCATGTACTGAGAGAAGACAGGTGAGTTTTCTGCTTGTGAGGTAAAGGGCAGGAGAATGCAGAAGGGAGCTAACATGTCAGCCTTTACTCTGAGTGCTTTACACATGTTCCTTCGCCTTCTCTACATCTCATTATGCACATTTATAGTTGCAAAACACGCCCCCAGTGTCCAGCTAGGAAGTAACCTATTATAGCTGCAAATCCGAAACTATCTGACACTGGTAGCTTTTGCTTTCTACTGTATTTCTCAGGAGAGAAAATAACACAGCTACTTAAAACAAACAAAACAAAAAAAGAATTAGCTTCTATCTACAGCTCTGTTGTAGATATTCCTTCAGCTCCACACCAGTAGGGAGGCCCCAAGAGCCCTTTTGGTTTATCCAGTTCAGACCGGAGCAGAAGGGAGCCCAACATCTAAGAGGAAAGCCATCCCACAGACTGTGAACATACACAAGCTGCTCTCTGGCACTAAAGGATGGAACCCTCTCCAACCCAGGGGTTCCTACAGCCTTTCTCATTTCTACTCCAGGACCTGGGCTCTAATGACCCGCAGAGGCAATACCTAAGGACTTGCACACATTTATTTCTCTGGACAGGGCAGGCCTATCATCAAGCTGCTGTCAGAATGAAGTGACTCCTGCTCCACCAAACCCAAAGTGCATCACGGGGGGTTAGGACTACTTGTGGCAGCCCGTTTGGCAGCTTGGGCTCTCTGAAAGTCCCTCACTTCCTGCGGGGTCCGCAAATACTGCTCTATCTCACTGTCAGAAATGTCCTCATCTCCGGTGACCGTGGAGGCAGGGGGAGTGGGGCAGACCCGCTTTGGGGGCTTCAACATGCAGGGTGGGAGGAGAAGGGCAGGACTAGCTGGCCGCTTCCCCTTGGGTAAATCAGAGGAGCCATTCCCCACTTCCTCTTGTCCCTGTCCCCGTCCCCACAGCTCCTCCGCCGGGGCCTCCACCCCAGACGGCCCTTCTCGGAAGGCTTTGCGGATCAGAGTGTGGCGGTGCTGCAGCAGGTCACTGATGTGCTTCACCACAGACCGTTTGTCAAGTTTCAGAACCTGCAGCCAGGCCAGCTGCTCAGCCATCCGCAGCAGCACAGCCAGCAGTTCCTGGAGGCGGGAGGAAGCAGGGTAGGGCAGGTCCACATTTGCCAATTTACAAAATCGGGCCAGGGAGCATGTCAGACGAGCTGAGGGCTGCAGCGACTGCCAAGCCAGGAAAGCAGCAGCGGTGATGACAGGCAAGGGATGCCGCCCGGTCACCAGCCACGTCTCATCCGCCAGCTCCACCAACTGCAGTGTTCGTGACAGCATCTTCTCTTTGTCTTCCATGAATTTGGCTGGCATCGACGGGGAGGCTTGGAAAAGTTTGAAGCTGAAATAATCAAAATGAGGGTCGTGTCTCAATGCCCATGGGGAAGAACAGTCTGCTAAGGATGGGCAAGCTGTTCTAGCTCCTTGGGAACACTCAAGCTTGCTGGCAGCAAGTTTCCTACGGATACTGAGAGAAGATGGGTGACTTTTCTGCTTGTGTGGTGAAGGGCAGGAGAATGCAGAAGGGAGCTAACATGTCAGCATTTATTCTGAGTGCTTTACACGTGTTCTTTTACCTTCTCTACACCTCATTATGCACATTTATAGTTGCATAATGTATCCAGCTAGGAAGTTTGCAACCAAGCTGCAAACCCAAAACTATCTGACACCGATAACCTGTTTTCTACTACATTTCTCAGGAGAGAAAATAACACAGCTACTTAAAACAAACAAACAAACAAAAATTAGCTTCTATCTACAGCTCTGTTGTCTCCTAATATTCCTTCAGCTGCATTTCCAGTTGATCCACACAGGCCACACATGTGACTGGTGCAACCCAAGAGGCCTGTGCCAAGTCTAATTCCTACTTTTCTACATCAGTAGGTTGCTGTGCGGGCAAAAAGATTTGAAATTATAGCATTCTAGAGATATAAAATGGGATTAGTACTAGGCACAGGACAGGGAGAACAGATTTTTTCCCCACATTTTTTTAGATGGGCTTTCGTCAAAAAGAGATAGCCAAAGGTAAAAGGATTCATGTCTAAGGACCCATCCCATCCCATCCCCATAACTCCCCCACTAGGCAGGTACCTGCTACAGTAGGTCTTCACCAGGTCTGCCAAGCACAGAGATGGCACATCCAGCCCCAGGAGCTTCACTATCTGCATGTAGGTGCCAGAAAACATATCCAAATCTGCATACAACAGGGTGCAGATGGTCCCCATGGTCAGGGGCCAGTTATGCTGCCTGCAGGTGATTAAGACACAGCACCCAACCAACACCTCCTTCTTCTGCACCCTGGCAGCCCGAATGCCAGGGTGCTGGTATGCCTTTTGGTAGTAGGCAACTGCTGTGTCCTCAAAAGTTGATGGCAACTGCAGAACTCGACAGAGATCTCTCACACGGCGGAGACCTAGGAAAACCCACATCAAGAGTTAGAGGTCAATTTCTGCTAAACTTGCCTCCGATACAAGACGCACTACTAGCCCTGGATAGTAAACCACAAGGTCATGGGTTCGATTCCTACCAGGGCACTTGCAGAGGCAACCAATCAATTTTTCTCTCTCTTCCTTTCCCATAAATATATATATATATATATATATATATATATATATATATATATATATATATATATAATCTTTTTACAATGACAGGATAGACAGCTGGTGCGACTTCCAAAGACATAAAGAAATTCATGGAAAGGAGTCACATTTTAGCCCACCATTTTTTGGAGTCTGGTTTGATTCTGGGCCAAGCCAGCGTTCGATCTGGATTCCTCAAACATATCCCTCAAACCTACACGGATTTGCTACCTCTCCTAGAACCACCCCCATCCTTTATTTCTAATCATCATTTTCTTCTATTCTGTCTTACATGATAAAGTTGAAATCAGGAAAAACAAGCACATGGGCTGGACCATCAGGAGAATTTTCTTGAAAGCCACTGTGTCATGAAAGGTTTGTTCTCACCTCGTTGCTGACTGCGACTAACTTGTTCATTTTCCCCTGTGCTTCTCGAATATGCTACTTCTGTAAAAACAAAAACAAAACAAAACAAGGTTAGCCTTTATTCACCAGACCCCTGCCCTCCTACCACACAAAGCCAGGGGGCAAAATTCCAATCATTAGGCATCTATTCTGCCTTACATGATAAAGTGCCAGGGGAATCTTGGATTCTCTCTCCTCTCTTTCTCATCCTCACCTGAGGATATTTTTCTATTGATTTTGAGAGAGAGTTGAAGAGAGAGAGAAAGTACGTGAGAAACATCAATGTGAGAGAAACATATTAAAGGTCCATCTGGTTTTCTATGTCCACAGGCACTATCACATACACAAAGATTGAGGAAGATCGGGACTACACTAACGCAGTTCCAAGTGTTCCCAACTTTTCAGAAATTTCAGTACAAGTTTGTACCCTCCCATACACCCAATCCAGACCATTTTCCTGGCTGCAGATTTTGAGGGCTGCCTGCTCAGGAACTTGGCAAGCAAAGGAAGAAAAAGACGTTTTACCAGTTAGTACTAAAAACGACTTCAGGTGCTGTATGCGTAAAGCGTTGACCTACAACATTCCCACCACGACCAGACTGGGTACCGGGAGTAGAAGCTTGTTTCTCTTTTTTTCATTTATTGTACCTATCAGACATTGTCCTAGATAATTACAGACTGTTGCTGTTCCTTGTGATTAAGCCCCGATGCTAGAAAAACACAGGTGAAAGGCAGTCCCTAACATCTCGCAACTCCCTCCTGCACTTTGGGTCGTTTTCTCTCGTATTTAAATGCGTACGAGATAGAGAACGGACGGGAGGTAAGAGGAATCGGGCTTCAGTCCTTCCGCTGCCCCAGGCTGCACCCACAACTCTGCCCGAACGGCACAGGTACCTCGGAGGTTGACCTCGTCGCTGAAAGTGGTGGTGAGAACTCCCTCGGTGACTACACAGCCGCAGTCAGAGCACACCAGCTGGCTCTGCGAATAATGCGCGTCTTCCACCAGCTCCGCGGAGCCGCAGTCCGGGCAGCGGCCCCCGCCCGGCATCTCACCCTCTGCCCGGCGCCGCGGGCGCCGTCGGATCTCCAACCGAAGGTCTGCTACAGCAACCGTGTACTAAGAGGGGAACTTTCTAAGGAATGCACCTTCCTTTTCCGGTCAGCGGTGTTTGGGTAGCTCTCTTGGCTCTGCGACTGCACGCCACTTCCGGTCCGTTTCTTTGTGGAGTCGAGTGGAAACGTAAGCAAGGAGAGGAAGTTCCTGGAGTAAACTGTGTCGTTGGGCTCCCAGCCGTCAGTAGTTGGTTTGAGGCAAGTCAGAAGGGGGTTGAATTTGGGTAAACATTCTGCCTACATGAACATACATAACAAGCAAGCAATTGTTATCCTCAAACAACTCTCCTTTCTAAAGTGCCTGGGGAATCTTGGATTCTCCATTTCTCCTCTCTCTCGCTCTCGCTCTCGCTCTCTTTCTCATCCTCACCTGAGGATATTTTTTCTATTGATTTTGAGAGAGAGTTGAAGAGAGAGGGAAAGAACGTGATAAACATCAATGTGAGAGAAACACATCGATTGGTTGCCTCCTGCATGCACCCTGACCAGGGCCAGGGCGGAAAGGAACCTGCAACCCAACCAAGATACGTGCCCTTGACTGGAATTGAACCCAGGACCCTGCTATCTACAGGACAACGCTCTATTCAGTGAGCCAAACTGGCTAGGGTTCCATTTCTCTTTGGAAACAACTGTTGATTCTGGCTATAGAATAATGTGCCTAAAGGGAAGAGTAGTGTAGTGAGAGAGTAGGAAATTGTGTTCTATGTTCTAGAGCTGCTTTCCCAAGCAAGTTGTTCTTCTTTGTAGTCAGTTTGTCTCAACTGTAGAACGAGGGAGTAGAATTAAAATCCAGAGTGGCAAACTCAAATGCTTTCAAAGGCTAGGCAAGGAATGTCTCAGGGAGTTGGAGTGAAAGAATATGGAGTAGTGTGGACTCTGATGAACTGGGGAGTTCAAGAAAATTCAGATGTTTTTAAAAGTTTGAGCTTTAAGCCCAGCCAGTGTGGCTCAGTGGTTGGAGGTTCTATGCACCGAAGGGTCACTGATCCCATTCCTAGTCAGGGCTGTCAGGACACATACCAGTTATGGATTTGATTCCAGTCAGGGCACAGGTAGGAGGCAATCAATCAATGTGTTGTTGTTGTTGTTGTTGTTTTTCTCTTTCTCCTCTTTTCCTCTCTCTCTCTGGAAAGGAACATACTCTCAGGTAAGGGTTTGTAGGTTTGTTTGTTTTTTAAGCTTGAGCTTTAAGATTCTTCAAGCTTCTGGCTCCAAAATTCTTAGCTTGGTATAGTATACATCAGCAATTTCCAACCTTTTTTATCTCATGGCACACAAAGTAATTACCAAAATTCTGCAGCACACCCAAAAGTAGATTATAATTTTGCCAATCTGACAAAAAATAAATGTAATTTTGATTAATTCACTCTGGACAGCTATTGTGTTGGCTGTTGTCATTTTTTAATTTGACAATCTAAAGGCAAAAAGGCCAGTGCCCCTCACTAAATAGTCAGGTATTGCTCACAACTGGCACACTGGTTGAAAAATTGCTGGCATAGATCAAAGAATCTTGAACAAAATTTTCGTATGAGTAAATCTTAATTGCACTCTAAAATTAACTATTTTAATGCTTGGAAGTTTTAGAACCAGTTGTGTCTGAAAAATAAGAAAGTTGAATCAAATGACAAGTATAACCAGGGCCTGTTCTAATGACTCCAAAAAAGTAGATGAGTGTCACCATAACAAGTGTGGAGAATTTCTTTTTCTCAGGCTGACAATGCAGAGTTCCAGTAAGGCCTCTTGCAGTTTTAAGGGAGGCCTCTGTACATTCTAGAAGCTGTTGTGGGCTCAATTTCAACCTTGCAGAATGAACTCATCCCTTCCCACTGAGAACAGAAATCACTGAGTGGCTCCTGTGCAGAATGAATTAAAAGGTAAGGGTGTCGCCAAGACTGGTTTGGCTCAGTGGATAGAGCATCGGCCTGCAGACTGAAGGGTCCTGGGTTTGATTCCCGTCAAGGGCATCTACCTTGGTTTCGGGCACATCCCCAGCCGGGGGTATGCAGGAGGCAGCTGATCGATGATTCTCTCTCATCAATGTTTCTAACTTTCCTTCCCTCTCCCTTCCTCTCTGTAAAAAAATCAATTAAAAAATATATATTTTTTAAAAAGGTAAGGGTGTCTTGTCAGCCCCTTAATAAATGATATTCCCTTGAGGAATGAGATACAGATTACTGCAGCCTTCTTTAGAAGATCAGTAAATTATTATGAATCCTAGAGCTGAAGTTTTTCAAAAGAAAAATGGTGCCTCGTAGTCTGAAGAGTCAAATCTACATAATGACATGTATCCAGTGAATCCTTATACAGAGCAGTTGAGCCTCAAAAATAAAGGGGTCTCATCGGACAGAACTACAGGTTCTTTTGAAAAAGCTATAGTCAGTGATCAGATAGAGAAAGCTTCCTCTATACCCAATGAAACTGTGAGTTCCCTGGACTGCAATGCAGAGCAAGGGCATATATGACAAAAAAGACTGCATGTTGTGAGCAATACCTGACCAAGCATCAGCCTATGGCTTTCCAAATCCCCTCTCTCCTAGACTTCCCCACTAGTGTGATGTATGTAATGAGGACTTATTTCTGGTTGGCCAGTAGATATATATAGAGACATGCTTGTAAGCCCATGTGCACGCGCGCGCGCGCACACACACACACACACACACACACCTCTCAGAATTTCTGAATCAGTTTTAGACAGTACAGTCGACATTCTTACTGAGGAGGGAAACATGTTCCTAAAAATAACATAATTGGCACTGAGAGTAGTCCTCACATTGTCATACAAGACCAGCATAAGACTCCTCTCCTCCCTAATTTTGTGCAGATCTTGGACATAACAGCATTTTTAGGAGTGGGGTTTTTTACAGTTGTGTACCCATGACAGAAGTTTTAAAATTCTACTTTCCCGCACGTGACTCATAGTAAAGTGGAAGAGCTGTTTTATGACCCTCCAACTAAACTGTGAGGGGTGGAGGGGTGATTTTCTTTCCAGTCACAGGTGTGTGTGATGGCATGGGAGAGCCTGGGCCTCAGACACTAACAGGCTGGGAGGTGGCCGGGACCAGGCCAGAAGATGGCGCACTCTACTAAGACGTATAAGTCTGGGATTCTGCACTTTCCCAAGAAGAAATCGATTTATTTAGGACATGTGTTTGCCTTCCTCTGGGAAATCAGGACAGATACGTCACCCTTGGGGCCCTCCCCACTGTTACAAATACGTCTAAGAGTTACCGTCATTCAATAAGAGCAAGTATCTGTTTAACAGATGTTCCTCAAACCCTTCTCCCCTACCCCCCATCTGTGAAACTGGAGCCATGTTTCTTATCACATGGTACCTGACACACAGGCTTTTAGAATGCTGAATGCCCACAATGGGCAGATTTTGAGCAGAAAGCTACTGTGGAGGAAATGCTTTTGGAAAGGCCAACCAGGCCAGGTTCAGGTGGGAAACACTGACCTTATGCCAGAGCTGTTTTTAGAGAGGAGACCAGAGTGGAAGGCATCGATGGTGTGGGACCCGGGGGAAGCTCTCCACCAGCCTCCCTTGGTGAGAGGTGTGCGTTCTTGTTAGTTGTTTACCTGTCAGACTTCCCTTGTGATTGCAAGTCTCTGAGGACCTGACCTGGCTTCTTCATCCCTGTGTCCTAGGAACACCTCCTAAAGCGAGGGCTAGCACTCAGTTAAGGGCTGTTCAATGCCTGTCAGGAGCAACACACAGACTTTCTCAGAGGCATGATGTTCCAATCCAGAGCAAGGAGCCAGGGGGAGTTGGGCAGCCTCACCCCTGGGCTCCTCCCAGCTCCGTTGACTGAAATGTCACTCTACACCAGTTTCACTCTGAGCCCGGAGGACGCTCTCTTCTCCCTCCCACAGAGCCTGGCAGTGGCTCAGGCCTGCGATCCTTCCTGGCAGGGTTTCCTTCCCACCACCTCGGCTCTGCAGTGGACACTCACGCTTCTCCGGCACTCACAGGGGACAGCCACAGCATGCAGCATCGCCAGGGCTTTATCCTGGTGCCAAATAACCTTCCTCACTCATATTCCCTTTTCCCCTTTGCATTATTTATTCTGTGACCCCCAAAACCCTTCCCTCACCTGGGATGAAGATTAATGTTTTCAGTTTCTCAAACTCCTAAGAACATAGGCATGTGATCACTCTAAGGAGGTGGGCACAGGCCCATATCACTGCACAGACCGAGGGCACAGACACCAGTCACCTTACCTGGAACTGCCCTCCTCAGGGAGCCTGTATGTAGCCTCACTTTGAGGTATATGGTCTCCCTTATCCCTGCCAGCTTCAGCCCTCCAGGATTCCAAGTGAATCTCAACAGTATCTGCATGGCTCCCAAGTGATCGTGGGTGAGGGGTCAGGAAACTTTTTCCATAAAGGGCCAACTAGCAAATATTTAGGTTTGGCAGACATGGAAGTCTCTGTTGCAATGACTCTAAGCTGCTGTTGTAACATGGAAATGGTCATAGATAAGGATGTAAACAAATGAGCATGACTGTATTCCAAAGAAACTGTGGACACTGAAATTTGAATTCCATGTAATTTTCATGTAGCTTCATTTTAATTTTTTAAAATCATTAAAAAATATATATAAATAACCAGTATTCAGCATTGTGTTGTTGACTGTGGTTATGACTCTCTGTGCTTTAGATATCTAATAATTATTTAAGTTGGAAAAAAAAAAAAGTAAAAATCATTCTTGGCTTGATGGCTGCACAAAAACAGGAAATAGGCCATATTTGCTGTGCCTCCCCGCCCCCGTTCCACACCTCCAGGTCAGACACAGGCGTCCCAGTTCTTTCTGAACCACTCACTGTCTGACCCGTGGCAAACAAAGTTCTGATGCCTCTCTAGGACTCATCTGCATAATGGAGATCTTATCTTCCTTGATGAGAATTAGAGACAGCAGCGTTGGTGCCTAGGGAACAGAAGGAACTCAGTACATGGGCCTTCCTTTTGCAGTCGAGTTTCAGCCTGAAGTGAGCACTTGATATGCAAGGACAGAGCAGCTTTCTCTCCTCCCTGAGAGAGCCTATCACTGTGAACTAGGTGCCTATTCCCTGGGCTCAGGATCCACGTGTCCGTGTGAAACAGCTGGACGTAAAAAGGCTAAGTGAGGACATTCTCCCTCAGGAGACTTTGTGGCTTTGGAATACGCTGGCCCCACCGAGCTCAAGGAAGCCAGTTTTGAATGTGGAGTGACAGCTCCTGTCCTCCCAGGGAGGGAAAGACTGCTGGTTGCAAACGATGTTAACAGATGAGAAGCCTCAGGCATGGGATCCATTTGCTCAGAGACTAGGTTCCAGGGCTAAGGGAGCCCATGCTGCTGGCACCTTGGCTAAGGCTAAAGAGTGGTAACACCACCCTGTAAGTGACAGTTTTCCATGAGGGTGGGAGACAGGATGCCCCCTCGCCACAGCAAATCCTCATCTGGTTCACAGGTGGCTGTGATGATGACCTGAGCAGGCAGTGATCCGGAAGTGACCTAGATCATTGCAGTTGCTGCAGCTCTTCTGTGGTGAGTGGTTAGCTGGGCCGATTCTCCCTCGGAATCACTATCGGTCCTTGTTGCAGATTCTCTAAAGGCATGCCGAAATGTTCTGAACAGTCTGTACTGCGTGTTCTCATCTTCATTTAAAAATGTATCTATTTGTATGAGGGGGAAATGCTGGGACAACCAATCAAAATAACAGTGTTACCTCTTGGTAGGTAATTTAGGATTTCTCTCTCCCCCCTCAGCTCCCCAAGAATGAGCATGTATAGCTTTACTTAGAGAAATCTACAGACCAAGTGGGTGGCTAGGGGGTGGCTGTGCTTAGTGATCAGTGGCAACTCAGTAAATGGGCCTTCCTTTTGCAGTCAAGGTTTAGCCTGAAGTGAGCTCATGATATGCAAGGACAGAAGCAGCTTTCTCTCCCTCTGTGAGAACCTAAGGTCCCTGCAGCAGGCCAAGATGAGGGGTGTGTCATAGAGAAGGGATCAAAGATGCCCCATTCCCTGGACCAGAAAGGGCATTGGGACCCCTGGGCACCAGGCAAGGTGGCGGCAATAGGAATCCAGGTGAGAGATTCTCAGAGGGTGAGAAACACTGGTCACACCCACCCCCCCACCCCCGCCCCAAGGGAAGTTGGCCAAGAAGACAGAAGACATTTTTATTGTACCCCTACGAAACCACAGACACAAATCTTTGAAAGTAGTACCATTTTATTTAGTGTTGTAGGAAATTTTACCAACAAAATCAGAAAAATTCAAAATTCCCAAAGTAACAAAGCAGAAAATAACTCTATAATCCAAAAACACTGGGCAATCCTTCAAGAGTCGGAGGGAAGAAGAGGTCAGGTTTGTAGCTCACATAATAGATATCGAGAAACCGCAGGGTTGAGGTTGGCATGGATACTAGGAGATTATGTTCTCCACCTAAGACAATTAATCTTTTAGCTTTGAGGGATTATTTATTTGTAGTTCTAAAAAAATGAAAATAGAAAGTCAACTGGGAGAGGGATCCAGTGAGGAAAGATCCTGCATAATTTAACATTAAGTTATTGCCTCTGGCCTTCAATACAGTATGCGGCTGAGTGTCATGGATCTTTCTCCTTGGTGTCCTTTTGAGCTCCCACTGTTAGCAAACCTGGAATCACACACATGTATCACACTGGTTCATGCATACGTGCACACACCCTTCCACTCAGGTCAACAGCTGTTCCACATGGCAAAGGGCAGACTTGCTTGCTTCCCCAGTCTGCTACCATGATGAAGTTAACACGCAGGAATAAAAGAGAAGGGCAGGACACCTGTCAAAGTCCAAGGAATGAGATGATATGAAACAACCGAGCAAAGAACTGACATCTTACTCCTGGAGCTGACCTCCAGTTGAAATTCATTGCAAGGTGTTAGCTTTTAATCGGACGCTTCCCTAAAGTACTGACTGTTCTTTCGAGGCAGCTAGGCAAGGCCAAGAAGGCAGCTGCCCCTGCTTCTCCTCCTCCCAAGACCCGTCAGGTAGGTTAGCATTCACAGCAGCTAGAGGCAGGTGCCATTCCCATATAGATGGGCACAGGCCTTCAGACATGTGCCAGGGATAGGAGTCCAGCGTGCCAACTCCCCACTGCCCTGCTAATGGCTCAGAGCAGGCTAAAGCTTTTCTTAGATAAATTCTCCCTCCAAGTAGAGTCCTCAAGGACAGTCATTAACTAGTGGCCTTCAGGCTATCTACTTTTGAGAAGTACAGGAATGCTATCCATTGCATTTTTTCCCCCAGCAGTGGTAGAAACCAGACACCCTTGAAGTGAACTGTCCTTCATTCTCCAGAGTTCCCAAGTGGCATATCAGAGCCCAGGAATTCACTCCTCCACCCGGCGTCCCGCTCAAACACTGACCATGATACATACTGAGGTCCTAACAGCAACCTCCAAGCCAGCCCCTCCTGAACGGTGCAGGTCTCCACACCAGCCCTTCAGAGGAGAAACCATTCAGAACTCACCTGTTTCTCCCCCCCCCCCCCTTTCCAGGGCACTTGGGTTATCACAGTCAAAACACATTTATATCAAGTAAAAAAACAAGTCGTGGAACAAATATATACATGTACATTTTCAGAGTTCAAGTGAATATACAGTTCTCTTTGTAGGTATGTACATCAATGTCATAGCACTACAAAAATGCAAGGCATCTGAGAAGTTTACAGCGGTCCCCAGTACTGGAGGAGAGTATTAAATAAAATAGCTATAGGTAGTTAAAAACTAATCGAGTAAATCAAGTTACAGTATCATCCTTCAGATTAAAGTGCTCCAGTAGAACTAAGATTGCAGCAGACATGATCCCGAAAAGGGATTCTGCTGCCAGCAATCTTGCCTCTTCACCTCAATATAACAGGAACATACGAAGAAGAGATCCCCAATTTAATACCGGCCTGTATTGCCACCCCTGCCCACCCCATTGGCCGGGGATATTCCTCCCCTAGGAGAGAGGTCAAGATCTAGCGAGATTCTGTCACAACCAGAGGGAGAAAAAAAAAAAATGAGTAATACAGAAACATTCTAATTGCAATATTAGGTTACTAACAATAATATTACCTGAAGAATTTGAATTGGTACTATTAATTAAGATTAAGAGCTCTAGGTGGTTTGGTTCAGAGGCTAGAGCAACTGCCCCAAGACTGAAGGGTCCCGGGTTCAATTCCAGTCAAGGGCACGTACCTCAGTTGCAGGTTCCCCTGCCCTAGTGGGGGTATGTGCAGGAGGCAACCAATCCAAGTATCTCTCTCACCTCCCCCCCCCCCCCAATCTGTCTAAACAAAAAAAAAGGAAAAATACCCTCAGATGAGGATTAATAACATCAACAAAATAAAGATTAATACCGGGCAAGTGACCTAATTTTTAAATACATGTGTGTTAATCTAGTTTTTAAAATAAGCAAGTCCAAAATAAGTATTATTTTCTTGCTCTATACCATTTTTTAACAAGGGGGCAAATGATAGGAAGAACTGCCAGGGAAAGCAAGGCACAAGGCACAGGAATCCTACTAAGACCATCCCATATCTGGTGAGACTGTTTTAATAAGGCCTGGGTCACCCAATTCCTTATCAAGGCCCCGACCAGGCCAACCTAGCCAGCAGGAATCCTGCTATTATGGGAGGAGAGACTTGGACCAACCTCCCCTGCTGAGTGCCAAGTGACTCTCAGTCCCCTGCTCATACATTTTAAGGCTAGAGTGTAGTGGAAGTGATGTTTAGAAAAGGCAACTTGTTAAAAATCTAAAAGGCACACTCAGAGGCTTTCCCTAAACTCCTCTGCTCTGGTCAAAGCAGGACCAAGTCTAAGAAGCCCAGGAGGCTGATGTAGTATCAAAATTTAACCTCTGCAGCCAAGCAGACACCTGAGCTACTCAAAAGCTATAAAAGTATGTGTAACGCAGCACCTTCTCATTTCACCCCGAGCGTTCATGACTTGGGGATACGTATTTTAGAATCTCGACATCAAAGACAGGAAACCCCAATGTTAAAATACATCAATAGCCCTGGTGCCACTTGACTCTCTGGACCAGGATCAGATCTTATGACCATGTCTTTCAGGGCATAAAATATTCACACCATAAGGCACAGTGGCATTTAAATATAAGACCCTGGGAACGTACAGTGAAGGACTCATTGTAATAAGTAACCTGGCTTCAATTGGCAGAACTGACTCTTGCCAGATAACACACAAGGGAGACGGATGGTGACTTGGAGCCCGAGGCTGGTTATCAGGCACACGGAGTCCTTGACCTCAGGAGGAAGTGGAAACAAACTCACAAAAAAAAGTCTCAGTGTTGCAGGCTGGCCGTTCACATCTTCCCTGCCTTCCTGCCAACCTGAGCCGGGACCCGGAGGATGTTGGGGGTTTCTTCCATGACCCTAACGAGCAGGTTGTCGATGTAGTCCTCCAGCTCTCGAACCTGGAACTCCTTCTTGTTTATTGTTTCCTTCTGTTTGAGGACCAGCTGAATCAGCTCATCGTGGGTGAGCTGTGCATAGGCAAAAGCAGGGTCCGAGGGGGTGTATTTCTTTGGAGAGGAAAGAAGAGGGGGAAAAGACAAAGTCATCAGAGAAGTCTAAATAGCTTAAAAAAAAAAAATACAAAAGAGGGGCTCAATGACGGTAACCGGAGGCTCCGGAGGTCGCGATCAGAGGGTACAATGTGCTCTAGGACCCGGACAAACAGGAAACCACTGCTGTGCAGGTGATTGGATACATTTCAAGATGGAGTGACATCTGAACCAGACCTTGGAGATTAATTATCATTAACTTCCTCCCCCAAGTGACAGGATTTTGTTTTTAATTATAAAAGGAATATCTGTTCATCATGGAGTCAGGGGAAAAAATATTACCTATAAGTCCAATGCATAACACTTGGGTCTCTTTCTTTTTTTTCTTTTTTCAAATATATTTTTATTGATTTCAGAGAGAAAGGGAGAGGGAGATAGAAACATCCATGATGAGAGAGAATCATAGGTCAGCTGTCCCCTGCATGCCCCCCTACTGGGGACCAAGCACCCAACCCGGGCATGTGCCCTAACCAGGAATTGAACCATGACCTCCTGGTTCATAGGTTGATGCTCAACCACTGAGCCACGCTGGCCGGGCCCTAGTCCTTTTGATGAAGTGGAAAAGAACCAAATTCTAACTCTGTATTAGCTTACTTTTGATCTCTACATTTATTTCCTTAATTGAATTTATTATTCAGGGAAGTGTATGCTGGGCCTTCATTCTGAGGGGTTTTAAAAGACTGGGCATTTTCAGGATGTCTTAGGGGAGGATGAAATAGAATTATCTTTCCTATTTTTCCTTGGATTCTTTATGGTGTGCTTTACAACTTTAACATCATACAGAATATAGTGTTTTGGAGGTTTTTTTTAAATATATTTTTATTGATTTCAGAGAGGGAGAGAGAGGGTGAGAGAGAGCCCACAATCTTGGCATGTGCCCCTGACAGGAATTGAACCAGGGACTCTTCAGTCCCCAGGCCAATGCTCTATCCATTGAGCCAAACCATCTAGAGTCAAGATATAGTTTTATAGCTTCTTTAAACTGTTATTTTGTGAGCCTTTTCCCATCATTAGATTTTAGCAAAAATTGCTTTTTTAATGGATGCTTAAAATTCCATCATATTTTAACCATCTCTCTCCCTGAGTACTTAGGTTGTTTTCAATTTTCGCAATTATATAGTAACATTTTAATTAAAATACATTAACATAAATCTTCGTTTACATTGCCAAATATTTCCTTAATAAAAATGCGTGAAATTAAAAAGGCATACACACTTAAGGTATTTCATACAAACTGTCAAATAGTTATTCAATTTAAATTTTGTATTCCAAAGGGATAAGGACTTTGAAATCATTAGAAGATTCTAGGATTGTGATGACTTAAAAAAAATTATAGAACAATTCAACATTTCAGAAGGTGAGCATCGGCCATGAAGAGGAAGAGGTGCAAAGAAAATATCCATTAATTCAAGAAATAACAGTGCCCATTGTCACATATTTCCTCTTAGGATCTTACACTGGATTTCCCCCCCCCCACCTCCCGCACAGTTGCAATAATAATGATGTATATTCAAATTGTGTCCAACTTTTTCCATATAACAGGACAGATGATTTCTGAGTGCAGTTGGCTGTATTATTTTAAAATGGACGTGCCAAAGCCACCTGAGTAAACAATACACACCTAGGCATAAATCATCTATAAAGGATGGAGGCCCCAAGAAAAATACCTTCTCCACCCCCCAACCCATCCAGTATGATTCAGCAAGCCTTTCATAACTTTAGCTATGCAATTTCTTCCTCTAACCTCTCTCTTACTCTGCAGCATTCCAAAGAGTAGTTCTTATTTATAAGCATTGTTTATGCTTTAGCACAAAGCATCCATTATATGGCCAGCCAACAGCAGTCTCCAGGAAACTTTCCATATTTACTCCGACTAGCTACTAGGTATGGTCCAGGACTGAGAGCTTTGCCGCCGGCAGGCAGAGGGACAGCAGTGGGGCTTACAAATCATGAGCAAGCCAGGCAGCAGTTTGCCTTTGTTTTAAGGCAGAAGTTATTCTCTCTGTCAGGGCCAGGAGATAAGCCCCTGGTTAAACAAGCTTTGAAGAGTAAATAAAATGAGAGCCAAGGGTCTTTCGCACTAACTTCCTGAATGCTAGGTGCTGTTTCTCTTTGGAGCCAAGCTGCATTCCACAGTAAAAGGAAGAGGGGATGGGAGGCCACCACATGGCTCTAGTTCTCATGACCCTTTTACGCTGTTCTTTTGCCCAGTTTCCTGGTAAATATTGTTAACTCCAGGAAGACAAGTGCTGCCTCTTCTACACAAGCACAGAACCCAGCCCAGCGAAGCTGCTCAGGTTATGATACGTTTTTAGGCTAGGGCTAACACATTGAAGGTAGGTACACAGTTCTGGCTGCAGCTGGGGATTTCGAGAGAAGGCAAGATGGCCAGAAGATGGTGACTTGTTTTCAGGCACAATTCATTATTGACCTGAAACTCCGCTCTCCAGCTTCAGTGAGCCGTTAGCCTAGCTCCTGGTGGCATAGGTACAATGCGGTCAGAGGCAGCAACCACCACCCAGCACTTTAAAAACGTTTCCAGGAGGGAAGGAGTCGTGAGCAAAAAGTTTTACTTTAAAAAAACACAAAAACTGCACTGGACAGTTTTGCTTAGTGGTTAGTGTTGGCCCGTGAATAGGATTCAGGGTTCCATTCCCAGTCAAGAGCACGTATCTCAGTTGCAAGTCAATCCCTGGCCTCAGTTGGGATGAGACGGGGAGGCAACCAATCGATGTGCCTGTCTCACATCGATGTTTCTTTCTCTGTCTCTCTCCCTCTCACCTTTTCTCCCTCCCTTGCTCTCTTTCACTCCCTCTAAAAATCAATGGAGAAAATATCCTTGGGTGAGGATAAACAAAAAAAGAAAATAAATAAACTTTATTTTCACCAACTACAGTCCTCAAGAGTCGTTTAGAAAATTCCTCTCCACATATCTGAAACACATCCTTGCCCACGACTGGTCCTCACTCACTCAGTATATTGCTCTCCTCCAGCCCAGTGACAGTGAGTCAAAGACCAGCGGGCTGCAGCAAGGCCCGATTCTAAACCAGTCTGACGTTAGAACCAAGAAGGGCAGGATGAGGATACGCAAAGCAGAAATCACCTGGGAGGCTGATTTTGTTTTTAGAGGGAGTTAATTTTTTGTTGTGGGGTGGTTTTTGTTGAATGTTAGCCTAAGCTTTTCAAACAGAAGAAACCCTCTAATCCAGCAATATTCTTCATGGAAATTGAGATTAAGGAAATAATCTAACAGGAGGGAAAAAGACCTATGCAAGCAATTGTTGGCTGGAGAGTTATTCATCTTGCAAAACAGAAAACATATCATAATGTTGTACACTTGAAATGTATGTAATGTTATTAGCTAATGTCACTTCAATAAATTTAATTTTTTAAAAAGAAAAACAGAAAACAACATGAGTATCCAACAGTAGGGAAATGGTTAAGTGAATAATGGTATAACCATTTCAAGAATAATTATGTAGCAACATGCAAAAAAAGGTTATGATACATTAAGAAGGGAAAGGAAATGAAGAAGTGTTTCTATGCAGGTGATAGAGCTGGGAATACCATCATTTTGCAACTGCCATAGTCATCAATGGATACTAAAGCCTGTGAATCAAAAGTTGATGAGGAACAGGATGTTCACATAGTCTGAAATAAATTCACCACAAATTTCTTATTAACTGTAAAGGGACAAATAGCAACTTTATCCTGGAGAATCTTGGGGGACACCACCAAACTAAGTCATGAGAGTTAACGCTTCCACTCCTGGTACAAACTGATATAATGTTCCTCTTCACACAGAGCACTGAGAAGTACATGTTATTTGTATAGCTGATTTCGGCCAAGAATGTATAACCTCAACCAAACCATGAGGAAATCCCAGGCAAATATTAAACTAAGGCAAATTCTACAATAATGAGTAATCCTGGGTTGGATCCTGGACTAGAGGAAAAATTACCCTAAAAAGGATATTAATGGGACAATTGGTGAAATTAAAATATAGACTATAAATGAAAAAAAGAGTATCACATCAATGTTAAATTTCTTGATTTTGATAAATGTCCTTCTTCTCAAGAATTCCATACAAGTATTTAGGGTAAGAGAGATGTGATATAAGCAACTTAATCTCAAATGATTTGGGGGGGGGGGATGAGTATTTAAACAGAGAACAAAGAGGGGGTGGGGAAAACAAAAAAGCAAATCTGGTAAAATGCTAACAATGGGTTAATTGGGATGAAAGGTGTTCTGGAGTTCTTTGTCCTATTCTTGTAACTTTTTAAAAATTTGAAATGATTTCAGAATAAAGTTACAAAAAATATATCTGTGCAACGATTACAACTACAAGAATGTTATGTCCTTGCCAAAAGGTAGGAAAGGATGCCTGACAATGAAAATCTAATTTGAATGGGCCAGATGGTGGGTGACACTTTCTCCTCATTAAAGAGAAGTGCTGATGTCAATTACACTACTTGATTCACAGAAAAATTCAGCAATCACCAAACGAGAAAAATAATTATTCAGTGGCAATAAAGGGGCTTCCATGAGACATATGGTTACGTTACTCCTGGAGTCACCTGCTGCCCACAGAGCTGTAGACAATGGTGACTCTAGAAATGGGTGGGTTTTTTAGATTCCTATAATGCCCATGTCTGGGTGAAGACATACCTTCATGATAGCTTCGTTGATCAAGTTCTCGCTGATGATAGTGGCAGTTCCCAAGCTGGAGTTAGCCGTCTTGGTGGCTGTCGTGTTCATTGGCTTCACGAGATGAGGTCTAAAGAGAAGGGAGAAAGGATCCTTAGAGCTTTCTGTAACGGGAACACTGAGAAACTGCCCATCTCAAAGATGGCAGCCGGCCAGAGAGACGAGGGCGGAGAGCGGTGACTCGCCGTTCACGTCTCCGCTCTAACACACGCCAAGGTTCCTGTAGAAATGAAAGCAGTCAGCTCTAGGCAGCCAAATGCAAGCCAGCAACACACACCCTTAGAGCCAGGTGTCCTGGCATTCTCACAAGCCCCTTGTCCTCATTCTCAATGTCAGGAGAACGTGAAAGGCAGTGTCTTATTTTTTGGAGGCAACTACAGGCTAGGACTCTACTGTGGGAGCTCTTGCAAAGCCTTCTGTTCTCTGGCAGTAAAGAAAGAGTTCAGAACAAGCATGCCAGCGTCACACCGGGCAGTGAAACTTTAAAAACACTGCTTGGTTCTACCGCTCAGTCTCAGTTGGTTCTGAGACTTGTTAACATACCCATCACATCACAGTGCATCTCTGCTATTTCAGAGCTCCAAATCTGTGCAGAGTAATTCCTAAACTATTTTGGAAGACTACTACTACATTCTCGCTACAAACACAGGTGTGCCTTCAGGTGCTCCCACCACAGGAGATGGCCCTTATAAAATGGGCCCTACCAGCAAAACGGGTGGGGGTTGCACCATCAGAACACCTGGGCGGTTAGAAAGCCATAATAACCTCTGCAGGAACAAGCAAAGGGGACATTGCTCAAGTTTACGAAGACACTCTTTCCCCGACTCTCACCTGTGCTTGGCTGACCCAGTGCCAGCTGAGACTGGATGTGTCTCCGAGGGTGAGACCCAGGCCTGAAGAAGAGGCTTCCTCTTGCCAGAATGTTCCGCTTTCCCAGGGAGGCCCTCTGCTGTTGCTTTTTTGTGAGATTCTGCTGTACTGGTGTGGGGAGTGTCAGAGAGTGGGAAGCTAGGGGAAGAGTGTGTGGCAGGAGAGGGCTCAGGAGAGGAGGGGCTGGAGACAGGAGGATCCGGGGCCGAGTCAGCAGGCTGCTTTCGCCTCCCATTTCCCATCAGCCCTGCCTCCTCGCCCTCGCCAGGGCCTGGCAGCTGGGTGTCCAAGCGTGAGCTCTTGCCGAGATTTGGTTTATGGATTCCTAAAGCTGCAGTGTGCTCTGGAGAAGCCCTAACAGATGCTTCCGGTGCTTTTGGCCTGAGCTCATGCAGGCTGTCTGCAGGCACTGCCAGCCCACCTGCCTCGCCGTTCGGCGCCTCCTCAGAATGGGCAGGTGACCTGCTCAAGGAGGAAGCTCCTCTTGCCAGAGCTGCTCCCTCTGCTGCCTCGCTGTCATCTTCCACCTCGTCCACTCTTTCATCGTCCGACGTCACTTCAGGAATGGAAGGAAGGGTTAAGTCCAGATCGGCCGTGCCTGGAGACCGGACACCGGAGGCAGACTGAAGGTCCTCCAGGGGATCGGACAGCAGGCCTTCGTGGTCACTGGCTTTGCTCTGATTCTGAGCCAGGAGGGTGTCGTCTTCCTCCAGGCCTTCCCCCGAGCTTGCTCCACTCACTGGGCCTTCTGAGACACGCTCCTCCTGGGAGGGGAGCAGCAGGTGCCCGGCCTTGGCAGCCGGCACGCCGGGATCCAGTGGCCGGGGCTCACTCGCAGCCTCCCCCTCGGAGCCTCCCGCGTGGGGACACCCGGCAGGCTGCTCTCTGCCGCACACGCTGCCGGCAGCAGCCCCTTCGGGCCCCAGCTCCTGGGGATGACTTCCGTCCTCTCGGACCCGTCCAGGGGACTTCTCCACCTCCGCTTCCGTGAAGAGCTGCTCAGAAAATGACACGTGCTTCTTGGTTTTCTTTGGGGCCTCGCTGCCATTCAGACCCATCTCTTTGTGTCTTCCCAGCGCGGAGGGATGTGGGAGGACCGGCTCTCCCATCCGAAGAGGGGGTACCGCCTGTTGGACTGTGGAAGCCACTTCCCCACCCCTACCTCTGTCCTCCTCAAAAAGCCCGGACGGACTCTCCCAGTCTGTCTTGACCCCCAGCGGAGGCCTCCCAGCCGGGCCTCCCGTCCTGCCGCTTCTCGCCGAAAGGGCCAATGTCACTTCTCGGGCCCCTTCCGATGAAGGGGGACAGTCTTGTTGTTCCGTGGGGGGAATCCCTGGCGGTTCTTCTTGCTGCCCCGTTTCAGGCTGCTTCCAGAGACCCTTTGCTGAGTCATCGCCCCTGGCATCCTCCTCTGTGTCCACCTCACGGGCCTTCCCCGCTGGAGCCTCTTCCGTCCCTGCCCACCCTGCCGTGGGCGGCTGTTCGGACGGTGATGCCAAGGCACGGGAAGCAGCATCTGGAACTTGTGTTAAACTCTCCTCGTGCGCCTCCGCGTCAGGGAGCAACGAGGGCCCCTCAGCACCAGCCTGGCCCTGGTGGGCGGAAGGCCAGCTTCCGACAGGCGTGGATGTGGAAATGGGAGCTGCCAGGGGAGGGGAGGAAGCGGAGAAGACAGAAGGAGATTCTGAGGACTGTGTCTCTGCCTCGTGGCCCGACTGAGGAGGGGCAGGTGTCTGAGCAGGACTGGAAGGGAAAGCAGAAGAAAGGGGAAGAGAGACAGGGGGAGGAGGAAGCCTGGCTGTGGGTTGAACCTCTGGAGACACTTCCAGTCTGCAAAAAGGACAAAATAAAACCTGCCGGTCAGTTGCAGATGCTGCTTGAGAGGCGAAAAAAACATATAAAAGTAAAGTCGTTCAGAGGGGAGAACTCAATGCTATATCTGGGGCAGTACCTTAAGAACTTAAAAAAGGAGCACACCAATACTTAATATACAGAAGAGACGCTTTTTATCACTGAGCACACCTGCCACACAAAGGGCTTTGCAACAGAAACAGAAAGATCCAGGTAAAGTGACAGCCCACAGTTGTTGTTTTTATATTTTTATTGTTTCCAGAGAGGATGGGAGAGGGAGAGAGAGATAGAAACATCAATGATGAGAGAGAATCATTGATCAGCTGCCTCTTCCATGCCCCCTACTGGGGATCGAGCCCACAACCCCAGTATGTGCCCTTGACCGGAATCGAACCCGGAACCCCTCAGTCCTCAGGCTGACACTCTATCCACGAGCCAAACTGGGTAGGGCAGCCCACAGTTCCTTTTGGGGATATACAGACAGCACCTAGAAAGCTCAAAGCAGTAAAGACCCACCACAGGGCAACACGCACACATGTTGAAGAGCAACAGGCTATGTATATGTCAGTGTGAGTCTGTGTGTGTGTGTGTGTGTGTGTGTGTGTGTGTGTGTAATCACAGTAAGCAGAATCTCAAATGCAAGCCTCTCCCCCTCCAGACCACAGAAACACTGCAAGTGGATGTGAGTCATGCTGACAAGCAGAAACCTCCAGGCTCTCTCAGGCTCTCGAAACAAGATGCAGAGTAAACACACAGAGAACTGTCACAGGAGTGTGACCAAGGGTCTCGCATGACAGCAAACCAGTGCCCACGTGCAAGGAGGAGAGAGAACATCGGACTCAAAGGGAGATGTGTGAAGAACTCACACCCAGTCCTGCGCATACCACAACCGAAACCTGGTGTCCCCAGCGTGCAACGCTCAGAATCCCCTACCCCCACGGCCTTCCCCTGGGTCTGAATGTCACCCATGAAGGGCCAGGACTCACCGAGGCTTCACGGCTTTGGTCTGGGGTGCCCTGGGAGAGGGAACAGGCGGCGTCGGTTCAGACTTGGGCTCTGGGTCAGCCTCCGGTTCTGTGCTCTGCACTTCTCCGAAGGGGTTCAGGGATTTTCCGCGTCCGGAGACAACAGCCATCGTATCCTTCTCCGATCTCTTTGCAAGGCCTTCAGCGGGCCCCGGCCCTTTCTCCCTCAGCGGGCCCTCCTGCTCCTGCCCAGGGGTGGTGGCAGGGCTTTCGCCCTCACTGCCCTTGGCCACCTCCTTCTTTCCTGTCACCAGAGAAAGCAGAGAGGACTTCCTGCTCTCGTGCTTCTTACTCTCTTTGGCTTCTTTCACGGCCTCCAGTTTCGCCGGAGCTGTGTTTTCCCTGACGTCCCCACCGCCGCCCTGTGGCCAGGAGGGCGGCAGGGTCATGGATTTCGGGGAGTTCTTTGTGGAAGACTCGGAGAGCCACTTGTCAGAGGACGCGGCACCCCCTTCTCCGGGTTCCTTCCAGGACCGAGGAGACAGGTTTTCCGTGGAGGAGAACAAATACCTCTTCCTGAAGCCCTGAGGGGACGGGGAAGAGGAGGTGCTGTCCTTGGGCTCAGGCTTGCCTTCTGGCTGCTCCACGTAAACGTGGTTCCCGTTGATGCAGACGTTGGAGCGGGAAAGCGCGTCGTTCTTGGACCGAAGGCCGCCGAGGAAAGACAGCCCTTCCTTCTTGGGGAGGCTGAGGTTGGCCTGGTTCAGTTGCTTAGGATCTGTGCTTCCTGATCTCTTGTGAGACATGACTGTGGGGAGGAAAACAAAGGGAAAAGGGAATAAGGAATTAAAATGACTGGCCCACAACTGGAGGGAGTGGGGATTTTGTCCGTGCCCAAATACATTCTCGGTTGTCACAGGTAGAGGCCAGGGATCCTCCCAAGATCATACATGCATGGGACAGCCCCCCACAACAAAGAATTATCTGGCCCAAGCTAGGAGCAGTGCTAAGGCTGAGAAACCCTGCATTTAGTCAATGGGAAGGGCAGCACTTTTAGTAGAGTAACAGAATCTGGCCAACAGTAGGGGTTTGATCATTGAAATTGCAGTTCAAAATACACAGTTAATTCAGAGTAAAGGGAACTGGATTCCTCAGCTTTCATTATGGATTTATCCCGTGAGGTTTAGTGCAATAATAGGATTCAATAAATACCTGATGAATTAATGAAATATCACTAATGTTCCATGGTTTAACCTTCAATTAAAAAAATAAAAATAAAAAATAAAAAACCTGCCTGGCTGGTGTGGCTCAGTGGTTGAGCACTGACATATGAACCAGGAGGTCACAGTTCAATTCCCAGTCAGGGCTCATGCCCAGGTTGTGGGCTCGATCCCCAGAAGGGGGCGTGCAGGAGGCAGACGATCAATGACTCTCATCACTGATGTTTCTATCTCCCTTTCCCTTCCTCTCTGAAATCAATATAAATATATATTTTTTAAAAACACAAAAACAGCCGAGACTGGTTTGGCTCAATGGATAGAGCATCGGCTTGGGGACTGAAGGGTCCCGGGTTCGATTCCGGTCAAGGGCATGTACCTTGGTTGCGGGCATATCCCCAGTGGGGGGTGTGCAAGAGGCAGCTGATCGATGACTCTCTCTCATCGATGTTTCTAACTCTCTATCTCTCTCCCTTCCTCTCTGTACAAAATCAATAATATATATTAAAAAATAAATAAATAAATAAATAAAAACACAAAAACAAACCTGGATGCACTCATTTTGCTTGATCTAGACGCTTGTACTAATGTACATCAGTTATAGAACCAGACGTTTAGGAAAAGGAATTTATAAATTCTTAGAAACCAGAGGGCTTAGAAAGAGTGAAGGCTTCCTAACCAAGATAATCCATCATCTCCACCACCACCACCATTTTAGTAACTGAGAATCTGAATTAAAATCTCTCTCTTAAGATTTGTGTGTTTTTCTCTCTCAAAGCAAAGTAAGTTAAACAGGGCAAGAGGCCAAGCAAGGAGGAGGAGGGAACTCACTGTCCGAGGCCGAGGAGGACTCATCCTCATTGTCATCATCCTCCCACCGGGACTGAAAGTCTCCGGGACGCAGCAGCACTTTGTCTGCCTTTGGAGTAGGCAGGACGGACATGGACTGGGAAAGCGGTGTTTTCTGCAAGTTAGACTTGGAAAACAAGGTCTTAATCTTCGACTTCTTTTTCTTGTCCTTCGAAGGTGACTCATCATCACTGTCGACAGAGGGCGATGTACTGGGGAGGATGGCTGAGGCGGTGTCCGAAGCGCTATCCTTATTCTTCCCCCTGATCTTGTCCTTCAGTTTCCCAAACGGATTCCGAGATTTGTCTTTCATGGACAGGTCGAACATGCTGGCAGTCATGTTGTTTCTCATAAATTGGATGTCAACCTCAATTTCTCCTCGCTCTTTTTCCTTCTTTCCTGGTTTGGATTTCAAGGTGTACCACCTGCAAGGAGAAGGTGGAGAGGTTACCTTTGAACTGAAGAGCCTAAAACAACGTTCACAATCCCTACGACCTGGCTCCTCCTCTCGGCTGTTACAACCTCTTATACAAACCTCTTATCTTCTTTGGGGAGTAAAGGGGAGGGGAGGGGGTAAGGACAGACTTGTAGTTTTATTTTTGAGAAGCCACCCACTAGGCAGAGATAGGATCTGATTCTGTACTCAGTATAGCATCACCTAAAATCTTGAGTCAGTAAAGTGCTATGTTTAAAAATAAAAATAAAAACTCCAACAAATCATTTCCTATGACCAGTATTTTCCTGTAAAGGGTAAAAATGCAAAGATCATGCACACATAGTTAAGAAGGTAGAATGCAAATTTGCAAGTACCAGTAAATCTCTAAGAAAAGCAAGGGTTTGTAGAACAGTCCCTGGTAGGGAGTAATTGAAAATATAAGACAGTAAAAATGTATATAGATTCCACTTATATGAGGCATGTGGAAGAGTAAAATTCATAGAGACAGAAAGGACAATGCTGGTGACCAAGAGTTGGGAGAAGGAGTGAATGAAGAGTTAGTGTTTAATGGGGACATAGTTTGCCCTGACCAGTGTGGCTCATTGATGGAGCATCGGCCTGTGCACCGAAGGATTGTGGGTTCGATTCCCGGTCAAGGGCCCATTTCTGGGTTGTAGGTTCGGCATGTGCGGGAGGCAACCAATCGCTCTCCCCGCCCCCACCTTCCTTCCACTTTCTCTAAAAATTAATGGGAAAAATATACTCAAGTGAGGATTAACAAAAAAATGTTTTTAAAGTTTGGGTTGCATGGTGACGATGGTTTCACAACAATGTGAATGTGCTTAATATCACAGAACTGTGTACCTAAAAATGGCTAAAGTGGTAAATTTTGTTATGTATGTATAATTGTTTACCACTACTTTTTTTTCTTTTGCTAACCCTCACCCAAGGATATTTTTCCATTGATTTTTAGGGAGAGTGGAAGAGCGGGAGGCAGAGAGAAACATCGATGTGAGAGAAACACATCGATTGCTTGCTTCCAGCACAAGCACAGACCAAGGTCCCAGGCCTAGGAGGAGCTTGCAACCAAGGTACGTGCCCTTGACCAGAATCAAACCTGGGACCCTTAGGTCCACAGGCCAATGTGCTATTCACTGAGCCAAACTGACTAGGGTCCACAATTTTTTTATTCTTTTTAAAAGAACATTTCAAATATTATTTGACATTTGCAAACTACTTCAAGACTTTGGCAAATGATATGTCAATTCCACTCCATTGAAAGACACACTTCAGAAAAAGGCATTTTCCACCTGGTTAACTGCAAGAATGCGAGCAGTGTGACCACCGCAGACCAAGCAGCTCTAAGTTCACGGTCTCCTGACAGCCAGCCCCAGCATCGCCCTCACAAACAGAACCCACATTCTGACTTCGTTTCAGTGACCTATTTAAGAGCTGAGGGCCACGGGGCTTTAAGGAAATGATGGGTTTGCCCAAACAACCACAATTTCCTCTTTCACCTTCAGCCGATCTTGCTCACAGGGCAGATCCCTGCCCTCACCATTTTCGCTCACCCTGCACTTAAAGGAAGGGAGCAGAGGGAGGCCGAAGCCTAACACTGAAATAGCACCTCCAGCATACTTGGCATAGCACACCCTGAGAAACATCCTCATTTAGATGACATTTCTCACAAAGAATGACATTTTTCTTTATCTCAAAAATGGGACCTTTTATCCATTTTACAGATAAAAGAGATTGAGGCTTGCAAGTGAGGTAATTGGTGCAAGGTCTTAGGACTCTTAAGAGTCATGACTGGGTTCTGAATCTTGAACCTGGGACCCTTTGGTCACAGGCCAAACCAGCTAGGGCTCAACTCTTTTTGAGGAAAGTTTGAGCTTCTAATTTAAAAAGAAAGGGGGAGAACCCACCCTAGCTTGCCACCAGTCATTAATCATAAGCTTTCATAAAGTCCAGGGTACAAAGTCATCACAAAGAACTTAACCTGCATGATCAAAATACAGCCGAGATCTGAGAAAATGATGTCAGCTATGATTTTGGACCTTGAGAAGAAACCTTATGGTTTTTAAAACACAATCCACAGCTGGAGAGGGAGGGGAGATGCAAGGTCCTGACAGACAGCCCCTGGTCTCTGCCAGCCTGCCGTCTTTCCAGAATATTTCCGGGACCTGGCCAGGGAATAGTTTGCATATTTGTCACTTAGATGTTGAGAGGATTATTTGTATTTTTCCTCTTCTGACAGTCATGTGCTAAATGGTAGCCTTCATGAGGAAGGTGGTTACCTTTTGTAAATACCAACTTGAAAAGGGGAAGTTGCTGAAAGCTGAGTCCCAGGGCTCAGAGGACCACGCCAGCCACACGCAGAGAGCTGCCCCTCTCCACCCAGGGGATGCGAAGACAGAAGACAGGACAGACTTTTAAAGAATGCGTACTTGGCAGTTCTTGGGACCAGACCTGCCTTTCCAAAAATATTAGAGCCAACGGCTGTTTATTTTGAGCAAAGCTCCCACCAACTCTAGCATCCTCCCTGCGGGCCTATTATTCCCTGCTGCACAGGTTCAATCCCCAGGCGCTAAAGTGGGATTTGTTTTGGGAGCCCAACACCACTAGGAGGTGTGAAGAGACACTTCACCAACTGGTCCTGTCTGTTTACTTTCACAAACAGCCCAAACAAACACCAAGTAACCCCAGAACAGCTCCATGTAAGGAGGTGAAAGGCAGACTGAATCACAGGCGGGGAAGCATCTCATGCTTATGTTCAGAAGGTTTAAAAGCCCGAGCTGGGTTTATTAAAGCTAGAAAGGAAGACACGAGTTGTTTCTTCTATTATCAATGTTATCCAAGGGGTATTTGACCCACGCATACTTTATAACAAGAGTTATAAATCATCCGAAGGAATCCCCAACCAGAACATGTAATGGGGTTTTCATCTTTAAACATCAATTCAATTTTTAAGCATTTCTGTTCATTTGCTTTCAGGTTCGCTTAATTCCAGCACCTTACGGAAGTAGTTCATCAATAATAAAGCACGGCCACCCAGCGCATGATGTCAGTGTGGGCGCGTCCAGCGATACCTTTCAGGTAGCCCGGACGGCTCCCACTATCTCAGAAATCAGGGCCGGGTTCATTTTCCCAGTCCAAAGGGCAGAGAACAGGAGAGAGCCGTAATCCCAATGCAGCAAGTTTATTTTTAAACCCATGTCTGACAAAACCCTGCCGCCTATCAAGAATGATCCCTTCTATACGCAAATAGTGATTTTTATTTATAATTAAAGTTCAGTTCTTCAAAATTTAATAGGATTTCTGAATACATAGGAAGTGACAGGAGACTTACGTAAACTATATTTTTAAGTAATAACAGGCATAGGATTAAAATCAAAAACATACAAAATGGTATAGAGCCCTAGCCAGGGGTCACCTATTGGATTCCTGTTCAGGACATATGCCCGGTTTGTGTGCTCGTTCCCCAATAGGGGGTGTGCAGGAGGCAGCTGATGTTTCTCCCTCTCCCATCCTCTCTCTTGAAAATCAATAAAAGCATATATTTTTTAAATGGTACGGAATGAGCCGAAACCAGTTTGGCTCAATGGATAGAGCATCGTCTTGGGGACTGAAGGGTCCCGGGTTCGATTCCGGTCAAGGGCAGGTACCTTGGTTGCGGGCATATCCCTAGTAGGGGATGTGCAAGAGGCAGCTGATCAATGACTCTCATCAATGTTTCTAACTATCTCTCTCCCTTCCTCTCTGTACAAAATCAATAAAATATATTTTAAAAATAAAATAAAATGGTACGGAATGAAAACTTCAGTCTTCCTACTCCTCCATGCTCCTCAGGCAAGTGATAGTCTTGGGCATATACAGCTGCCCTCCTTTTGGGGGATTTAGGTTAGGGTTGTTTATTTTGGTTTGTTTGTTTTGTTTTTCATCAAACAACAGCTTAAAAAAAGAAAAATTCTTTTAAGTCTTCTAGGTGTAAGATTAGGTCTAGGATCTAAGAGCAGTAGGGAATGTGAAAAAAGAATGAACAGGGTACAGGAAGGAAAAGAGGTGGGAGGCAGAACTCAGGATCCCCCTCCACCCTTAACCCCACCCCCAGGGCTGGGTTGGGGAGCTACTGTCTAGATCTGCATTGTCAAATCCCCTGGGCTTTGAAACAGTTCTTTTGAGAGCAGTTCATGCCATCCAACCATGCCCAATTCTCAAGGTTGATTTGCCTCAGAATGTAGTCTCTCAAACACACGGAGAGCGGAGAGCAGGTCCCAGGGGCCTTCCATCGGAATGCGGCAGGGTGAGGGCAGCGTGGCTCCCGGTCTTGGAGATTGCACTTGTAAAAGACTGACTGGTATGTCTCAAAACGAATCTTCCTGCAGATGAAGTAAGCCTGTTTTTCCTTCAAAACATTCCTGAGGGCAGGTGGGTGCAGAGAATGGGTGGCTCCAAAGATTCGGTTCAAATACTGTTTACATGCCCGGCACTGAACAGGCAAAGCAAAGAGGCCAGATTCTGCCCTAAAAAACTTACCCTCTGGGGGGTGGGGTGAGGAGTACGGGGACAGAGTGAGTTTAGCAACATCATCACCAAGTGTTGGTGACACTGGCACAGCGGCTGCCTTCTTTCTAACTTTAGAGCACAACAAAATCATCAGACATGAAGAGGATCTACAGTTTCACCACAAATGAGGACTCCCACACATGAATCCAGTTCTCAGCTCATTTAAACCCCAAGGGGCTACTAGAACCGCCTCCTTAGGGGTCCCGCAAAATGAATTAATACTGTGTCTTCCAATTGGACACGGAAAGGCAAGGCAAAGGAGAAGACCACAGCTCTATAAAATACTTCAACGTTTTACAGTATTTGTTTCATGTCAAGGGGGCCTTGTCTGCGGGTCCAGTTTGGACTCAACAGTCAGGGGAGGACTGCCTGTTTCCTTCCCCCGCACAATCGCAGCGGTGACGTGTGGGGTGAGTCATCTCC